CGAGAAACAATCAAGGAAATATCTACCTATATTTATCGCAATTGCATTAGTTGCTCACAAAGTTCTTGCCGTTTAACTAACATTGTCAAGGTTTAAAAAAGTCGTAGTCTAGAGCGAGCCGCAGTCATGGTGTGAACGGAACAGACCGGTGACACGTCGTTCCGGATCGAAAGACAGCGACTGACTAATCGTTGATATATAAATAAACGACTGTATAGGTCAAACAAATAGAAATAACGTTTAGAGAGTAATTATTACGTGGCTCTTATGATTCTATCGTATAGCGGATTGAGATTCTCAGTGTCTTTTTTTAAATTAATCGTGTTCTTTTGTTCTTTTTTTATGTAAAACATCTCTGCAATCTCCCTCTTCCTTACATATCTCTCCCTATGCATGATTTTCGTATCGGACCATTTAAAATTATGCCCGTGTGTAAGTCGGTGCTTGCTAACAACGGAGTGTTTATTCACCTCTTTTTTGATGTCACCTAAATGTTCCTTCACACGAGTTTCCAAATGTCTTAAGGTTTGTCCAATATAAGAAACGTTACAGTCGTTGCATTCGATTTTGTAGACCACTCCTGTTTCTTTCATATTATCGAGCTTATCTTTACCCCGTTTTATAATTGAATCCATCTTTTTTGGAATCGTGTAAAGGACATCGAGGCCACATCGGTTTACGGTCCGGCGAATATCCTCACTAAGACCCTTAATGTAAGGAAGCGCAATGTATTTCCGGGCGTCGAAAGTACTGCTTACATTATTACAGTCAGTGATGTTATTGCGATGCTTTAATTCTTTTAATCTGTTGTTAATTTGCTTATCAATCAGCTCTTCTGGGAAGCAATTATTCCTAAGGATGTCTCTCACAATTTTAATATTAGAACTGTGAAAATGTTTATCCGAAAGCAAAATTGCATGGTCAACAAGGCTTGTGATTGTATTATATTTGTATTTCAATGGATGGTTGGAAAAGTAATTTACATATCGGCCCGAGAACGTGGGTTTCCTGTGCCAATTAGTCAAAAGCCTGTTGCCATTTTTGATTATGAGAGTATCTAGAAAGGGGATGGCCCCATTTACCTCCAATTCGTGAGTAAATTTTAAACGGGGGTGATAGTTATTAAACGCGTCAAGGACATCCCCAATTTTATCCTTAGGAATTACGGCAATAACATCGTCGACATAACGGCGGAAAAACGACAGAGAAAAATTAAGCATAGCAAGACAGTGAGTCTCTAAATCCTCCATCACAATATCCGCTAATATTGGTGAAAGCGGAGATCCCATCGGGCTGCCAAAGATCTGTTCATATGTGTCACCATTAAAACTGAAACTCGTAGATCCCAGTACCAGCTCAATAGCATGCAAAAATTGCGGCAAATTAAGCTTCGTGTTACCCGAGATATCCTGCCAACGTTTTTCTATTCCTCTGAGAACTAACTCCTTCGGGATGTTGGTGAAAAGAGCCGTTACATCGAGGGAAACGAGTACCTCGTCAGTATTAATCTCAATGTCCTTGATTTCTCTTACAAAGGACCAACTGTCCTTGATGTGAGACTTAGGTGGGCGAATAGAGTGATGCAAGATACTGTGGAGAAAGGACGCTACGTTATATAAGGGACTTCCCAAAGCCGAAACAATAATCCGTAGCGGAAAACCATTTTTATGGATCTTTGGCAGCCCGTAACAACGTGGGAGATTCCCGTTGGTGCAATTTAAACGCTTGTAGTCCGAGTCCTCGATAATACCACTGTCTCGCCACGATCTGACAAGTTCATTTAATTTCAAGGAGATTTGTCTAATAGGATCTTTCTTTAATTTTTTGTACGTGGACTCGTCTTTAAGTAAATCGGTCATTTTTGTCAAGTATTCATCCCTGTCCATAATAACAGTGACCTGACCCTTGTCAGCCTTCGTGACGAAGACATCGTGGTTTTCTCGTAAAAATTTTTTGCATTCCGCGTATCTATTTAATATGCAGCGATCGACCAAATCTACGTGGTTTTTATTCACTAAAAATCTATGTAAAGAATCCGTTAACGACTCACGTACACTATTTACCGCATTTTCCGGAAACCTGTGAGCATTAACTTCGAAATTCTTTATTGTTTCTAAAACGGAAATTTCGCGGTCTTTTTTATCGAATTGGTTAATCGGTAACGCAAATTTATCTCCCAAACACAGAAAATCTGACACAGAGTTCGGTATCTGCTTATTACTAATGTTGACTAACCATTTCGATTTGTCTATCCTCGAAAAAGGATCTGCCACAATGTTTCGTTTTTTTATTATTCTGTTAAATTTGTTGATAGATTTAACCTTTAGAGAATCATTGTATTTTATGACCTTCTCATTGTTACATTCGAGAAACTCGTTAACCAAACTCTCAGGTAAATTTTTGAATAGTTCTTTTTCAATATTAATGATTCTAAATCTTAAATTTTTTAACACATAATGGCAATCACCGATTTCCAGATTCAATATAACACCCTGACTCCGTCTTTTGAGACTGTCTACCTTATTTAACGCCCTATTGTTCCGGAAGCGAAAATTAAATTTCATATTGTAAATGTGCGGCGGTAACACACCGTATTTCCTACAGCGGATTAAAAAGGTGAGCTGTTGGCTCACTTTGCAGATCCTGTTTCTTGTGTTGATCCATGACTTCAGTAAAATTGTGTTGTTATATCCATAATTCTTCGTGATGTTCCCGAAAAATCCATGCCTCATCCAAACCACCATTATTGAGGTCAGTGGTGTGTAAAAATTTTCAAAATTCCTTGTTTTGTCAGTGAAAAATTAACACAGGTTATATTATTGACCAAACTGACATTTATTTTTATTCCGTTAACTCGACGTTTCGACACTGGTTTTGTGTCCTTATCAAGAGATTTCTAAAAGTATGCAAAACGAAGTCGTTACAAGCATGTTGTTATAGGAACGAATGTCGCACGAGAAACAATCAAGGAAATATCTACCTATATTTATCGCAATTGCATCCTACATGCGTAGGATGATTTTAGGATTTTTTATGCTATTTAAGTGTAATGGACATTTATGAAAAATATATAATTTATTACGGTACTTAACATTCTGAAATTACTTTAAGTATTTTACAACAATTAATAAAGTCAAATAAAATATTCATATAAAATATTTACAACAATACATGTTGTCCTGGATGTCCTTCGGATTTTCCGAGGATGTTATTGGCTATCTGGAAAACAACTAAATATCCTGAAAATATCCCAGGACATCCTGGACATGTTAAGGACGGTCCTGAGGACATCCTGGACATATTCAGGACGTCTTGTGCTATCTAAGTCCCTGTTCCTGTTGCCTGTATCTTTGTATTGCGCATCCAGCTTTAAGTAGAACGCACCTCTAAGGGTGCATTTCCATGGAGAAAGAAATAGTGGAACGGAATTAAAACGAAATTCCTTTCATTAGCTAATATCCCATTTTGAGAGCCTCCACCTAAAGATTAGCCAATTAGGGCGATTCTGTTTTAGTTTTGTTCCGCTATTTCTCTCTCTATGGAGATGCAGCCTAAAGACTCTATACCACCATGGTGGAAAGAAAACTGGTGTGCTCTTGCACATTTTTCTCTAATAACCAATGAGTGCGTTGGAACAAACAGGAAACATTGAGGATATTATAGCCAATAGAAGGCCATGTATATAAAAAATATCTATTATATCCAACATGGCGCTCGCTTGTTCTAGTCGCGACGTCTGCGCATCCCTCTAACGAGCAGACCTTGTTTCCTTCCATCATACCACCGTGCCTTTTGCCGCGTTTTTACATAACCTTGAATAACAATTGTGTTTAACCAGTTAATAATGTTCCTCGATGAGTGTTTTCAATAGTCTCCATAGTTCTCAATCTTACATGTAATCAGGTAAGATAATTTGTTTTGATTGGTAGATTTTAATTTTAAGCTACAGGTTCAACTACCTTTCAGAAAAAAAAAAGAAATCAGAAATGTCGAGCGACGAAAATATAGCTCATCGGCTAATCCAAATCGCAGCTAATGCATCAAATCAATCAACATTAGAAGAGAGAAATTTTTCTTCATTGATTCAATCAACAAGAAGAAATTTTAGAAGACAGGAATTAACATCCACCCCTCGCAGAGGTCGAAAGAGGCAGAAAACTTTCAAAAAAAAAGTCGTGTTAATGAAGCTGTCGAACGCCGATTTTTTCCTATCAAAGCCGGAACTAAAATTTTTAAAGCAAAGAGGACTATAGGTATTTATGGTAAAATGTTTATTGTTTCGTTTGAAGAAACAATAAACATATACTATTGAAAAGAATGCGTTGTGTCATGATTCTAAAAACTTGTTATATCTAGGTGAAGCGAATACAGTACTCGAGATACAAAGAGACAGTTCTTGCGAGGAAATCAAGACGAGCATAATTATCCTTTTCATCCGCACATTCAGCATATGTTGCAAATGTGCGGAATTGTGATAGCAAGAATGCAACAAAATAAAAAAAATTATTCGCATCAGTTTTGACAATGGATCTGACTTGGAGACCGAAATAGGACAGAGTAAAATAGTGGTATTATCACTGAAAGATTTTCCAAACGATTTGCCAATTCTTGCAGATGACGATTTTGTTCCTCGTCCATCATCGCACACTAATTCCATTCTATCACCAAGTCGTGCTTCAATCGTAAATCAAACAAGAGATCTCGCACGGAATGTGAATAATCCAGAACAAAGTTCACCTTCAACATTGTCCAATACCACTCTTCGCGAACGCCGTCATTCGACAAGGACATGGCGACAAATGATTGAAGAAATGGACGAAGAGAATTTAGATGAGGATGACGATGATCATTTGTGTATGCAAACATTATTTGTCTTGTAAGATGTTCTTATAACGAAAAGGGATAGTTTTCAAAAATTCATAAATATATACTATTTAATCACCAGCAAATAATGATTTATTACAGTAACGCGTAGGTAAAAACCAAAATTTATTTTTTTTAGGTCTCGCCAAAGAGTTTGATCCAGCAAATAATTTTGTTTTATTCCCATCTGTACCTGAAAACGCAGAAACTGCAACCATCGATATCTCCAGAACCAATTGTGTCAATGAACTGATGAGTCTTTATGCGGACGAGCAACTTCTGAGCAAAAATTTAAGCGTGAAATTTATCGGCGAAATAGGAATTGATGGCGGTGGCCTCACGAAAGAATTATTTAACATCTTTTTTGACAAATGCTCGAGCACGTTTTTTCAAGGTGAAGATTGTCTCGTTCCGTACTTGCCATTAAACAAACGGAGCGAACAAGACAAATTCATTACAATTGGACGGATTCTCGAACACATGTTGATTTTAACTAACAGTATTCCAGCAAAATTATCGAGGATTACTTTAACATTGATCGGAAAGTCTGATGCCAATATTGATCCTACAATACTATTGCAGGAATTAATGAATTATGTAAATCCATATTTAAAAAAAATTCTTCAAAAAGGTCAAAGAAATTTCTCATCTCTGATAGAAAAAGAACAGGAAGTTATTGGGGACTTTTTCCAATCAAATAAATTTTTCGCAAAAGCCAACTCTGAAACTTTTTCAGAGCAATTACAAGTAATTGCTACCGAATTGTTGGTCGACATCCCGCGGAAATTAATTGACAAACTTCGTCAGGGTGTACAACCAGAAAAATATCCCGATTTTTGGGGACGTTGCGATTTTACAGTTTTTTTAGATATGCAGGTACCTACTCCGACCAAAGTCGTCAATTGCTTAGTCACCGACCCTTATCTTACAAATAAAGAAAATGAGGTGCTACATTATTTGATTATGTACATCAACTGTCTTGATAAAGACAATTTACTAAAGTTTATATTTTTAGTAACAGCTTCGTATCAAATGCCAAATGTTATTAATATTAAGTTTAATGACTCTGTTGGATTGAGCCAAAGACCTATATTCACCACATGTACGGATACATTAATTTTGCCAAAAACTTACGTAAATTATAACGAGTTAAAAAATGATTTAAACATTTGTTTGCATACTGAAGAAGTCAAAGAGTATACGTCATATTGATGTTTAAATTTCTTTTAGTTTGTTAAATCAATGAGCTAAATATTCAGTTTCATTTTTAAACTACGTACATGTGCGATTAGACGGTAAACAGTACAAAAGATAAATGTGATATATGTTGATAAGTTGACTGATTTTTACTGTGGCAATTTTGAAGGAATAGTACATACTCATGTAAACGTGCAAGAAAAAAAAAAAGTTATTTTAAGTTATGTATGAGGTTTATGAAGTTTTTTGATAATGTTCCTGCTACTAGTATTATTACCATTAATTATTACAACATTCGTTTTGTTATGACATTCATTTATTTTATTATTATCAAAGAGGAAAAGTCATTTTAAGTTATGTATGGAATTATGAAGCAATAACATTCGTTTATTTTATTACATACAGACATACAACAATTACACAAACAGTGTTAAAATGCAACATATTTTCTTACGCAATTGTACCAAACAATAAGATGTACGAAGTGAGAATAATAAAAATTTGAAGAATATCTATTCAATGAATTCAATGTTCCCTTTAATTTATGAGGAAAAAACTGATGAAAACTTAAACAATAGAATGTAAGTTTTTATGAGTGAATTTTATTGGTCACTGATAGATTAACAAAACTTATAAATGTACATTTTACTTGCGTCGATAAGATAGAGAAATCAACTCATCAATAAATTTACACATAATGTGTACTTCTCGCGATCTGATTTATCCAAAGCTATGACATTTTCCAGATGCATTTTTTGTACTTCATTTAGGTCTAAACATGCAGTAAAATTCGATGAAAGGGAATCAGTATTGTCACGATTTATTATAGGAGTAGAAACATCTACTCCTAATATTCTCAAGGACTCAGAAAGTCTTTCGTGTAAATTCATATTAGTTTCGAAAACATCCTGAACTGCGGTCGAAGTTGTATTATAATTTTGCAACATTCCTTCGAGCCACAGTTGACGCGGTGAGCGATTATTTTCTGTTCTCAAATTGTGAACATTCCATGCAGACTGGAATGATATCAGTCGTCTATCAATAACCTTCTTATATACATACTGTACACAAAACCTGTGCACAAGATTATTCACATCCATAATATTGTCGTTCTCCAGAGCATATAATTCAGAATAAACGGAGTCACACACTTCTTTAAAAACGTCAACCCATAATCTTTCTATTCTCTGATTATGTACGGATTTTCCAGTAATATGACTTCCCCTATTCAAGCCACGAATCGTATTCATCAAAAAAGCCACGAGAATGTTTTCATAACCATGATCTGACCGTACTCGTGACGGTAATCCATAGCTGCCTACGGCTTCTGCAAACAAAGTCACGACAGGTTCGGCTTGAATAGAAGTCTTGCATGCCAAATAAATTATCAGCCGAGAGTATCCGTCAATACAGCCATGAATTACGAAGCCCCATCTGTAAAAGAAAACATATATTTACAAACGTTTTTAGAAACCAAGGCAATAAAATATATTCGTACATACCTGGAGAGCTTCAGATGTGCATCCATATGCCACAGAGAGTTTGGTGTTGGTACCTTATAAGTCCTCCTCTTGATTGATTGACTCCATCTACTCGCTGTTCCT